TTGAGTCAGAAACACCACTTTCCAACAAGAGTTTTTCTGCTAAAAATGTCTCTTAAGATACACTGAATGTGGAGTAAAAACTTTCCTCTTGGGGCCGGCGCTGTGGTGTAGCGAGTAAAGTCACTGCTTTTGGTGCTGGCATCCCATATGGGCGCTGGTTCGAGACCCTGGCTGCTCCACTTATGTTCCACCTCTCTGCTATGGCCCTGGGAAAGCAGTGGAGGATGGCCCAAGTGCTTGGGCCCCTGCACCCGCGTGGGAGACCTGGAGGAACAGCTCCAACGGTTGTGGCCATTTAGGGAGTGAACCAGTGGATGGAAGACCTCTCTCTCTCTCTCTCTCTCTGCCTCTCCTTCTCTCTCTCTGTGAAACTTTGACTTTCAAATAAATAAATAAATCCTTAATTAAAAAAAAAAAAAAACAAAAAAAACAAAAAAAAAACCTTTCCTCTTAACTATGCAGGTTGAAAAGCACACCTGTTTGGGTTGAACATGACTGAGATTAAACTCATGAAAGGAAAGCTTCCCTCTGTCCACATCGCCAGTCTCCTCCTGAGTGCTCCTCAGAAGCTCAGGAAACAAGTTCTGAAAGAAAACTTTCCCTGTGTTCCAAGGAAGAGGGAAACATGGGGCCTCTTGACCTATAAAACTCAATATTTTGGAACATCCATAATTCTCCCAAGTCTGTGCCAGTCAAATAGAGACTCCCTTCAGCAAACCACCAGCCAGCAGGGCTGGAGAGTAAAGCTTTCATCCCTCAGAGCTGACAAGGACAGGACCCAAAAGCTCCCTGGAAGTGGGGGGAGCCACTTCAGCTTGCATTACAAACTGCTGGAAAAGACAGATGGAGGGGATGACAGGAAAAGCAATTATTTCTTCTGGGTTTCCTTTCTGTCTGGATTCTAAGGAGACGAATACAAAATTCCATCACAGATTGAAATGCTATCTAAACATTCTTGCAAATGTGGTCTTGCTCTCTGAAATATGACCTGCTCTGCTGCAGCAACCTGTAACCTATTACTACGTGAAGGTGGGGGATGCCCACACTCCTGCAGCCTGTCTAGTTCTGGGCCTGACTCTGCAGCGCTGCCACTCTGTGACCCACAGATTAACCATGAAGAATGAAAAGATATATATCCACAGAACATGACCCAAGGAAAAGTCCTCACGAATTATTCACTTGTAATTTCACATTCTTGGAATTTTAAACACCTGAGACTTTTTAAAGTATTTTAAGGTTTTGAAGAGCCACTCAAAACAGTTATGCTATTATGCTAAACAGCAGTAAATTGAGACTATTCATTCACAAATCAAGTTTTTTTCTTTTTTTTTGACAGGCAGAGTGGACAGTGAGAGAGAGAGACAGAGAGAAAGGTCTTCCTTTGCCCTTGGTTCACCCTTCAGTGGCCACCGCGGCCGGCGCACCGCACTGATCCGATGGCAGGAGCCAGGTGCTTCTCCTGGTCTCCCATGGGGTGCAGGGCCCAAGGACCTGGGCCATCCTCCACTGTACTCCCTGGCCACAGCAGAGAGCTGGCCTGGAAGAGGGGCAACTGGGACAGAATCCAGCACCCCGACTGGGACTAGAACCTGGTGTGCTGGCGCCGCAAGGTGGAGGATTAGCCTAGTGAGCCGCGGCACTGGCTACAAATCAAGTTTTAACCAATTTAAAGGAACTTACACACTGATCTGATTGTAAAGGACATTTGTTTGGAACTAATAAATAATCTTATACACATCAAATATTCGATACAGTTGAGTAAGATGTTGTTTTGCATGCACTCTGGTGTACTGACATGTAAAAATGAGAAAGATACAGTTCTTACTGTGAAGGAGTTTATAAACTAGTCAAGAGGACAAGATGTGTTCATTAGTGAGCCCAGGAAGACCACAGAAGCAAAGGAAAAGTACAAGCTTCGGGCTGTGGGGTTTGGGGCAGAGACAAGACACAGCTGACTGAGCAACACTGGGACCCATCTGCTCCTCTGTAAGACGAGGGGATGTGAACCAGATGAGCTCCAAGCCATACACGGTTCTAAAATTCTGACTCCTTTGGCATATGCACATGAGGTAAACAGAAAGAACCATAAAAGAAGCTGTATTTGAGGTGGCCCTAAAACGGATGAGATTTCGAAATGTAGCTACTGGAAGAAATAAAGAGGACAAAAAGCATTTCAGGCAGAAAGAAGAATATATAGCACAGATCCAGGAAGCACAGGGCATACTTGTTTAGCACAATGACTTCAGCCGGTAGAACCCAACAGGAGACAAAATTGGAATGGAGAATGAATCTGAATAGTAAGAGCTTGGATTTCATTATTAGTCGGGAGTCAGCAGAGTTTCTGAAGAGGCAGAGGACATGGACAAACATCTATTAGGAAAGTTAATCAGTGAAATGGAGCTCAAATGTTTGTAGGCTACTCTGTTTTTTTTTTTAATTTATTTATTTGAGAGGCTGAAAGAGAGAGAGACAGCTAGAGAAAGTTTTCATCTGTTAATCTGATCCCTAAACGCCCATAACATCCAAGGGGCCAAGCTGAGAGCCAGGAACTAAATCCAGATCTCCCAAGTGGGCAGCAGGAACCCAATTAGTTGAGCCATCACCACAGTTTCCCAATGTGTGCATTATCAAGAAGCTGGAATCAGGAGCTGGGGCTGGGACGTGAACCCAGGTATTCTCACGTGGGACAGAGACATCCTAACTGGCAGCTTAACAGCGAGGGCAAACTCCTACTCTGTTCGTCTTCATGACTTACAGGGGGCCCATTTACATGGGCCTCATCTGCCAGACAAGCAGTGCTTCATGGGAGTATGCCAACAGACTAAGAACCAGGCACCATACAAGAGATCAGGCAATAAGACCAGTTTCAGGGACCTAATACATCTATAAAGAAATACTGATGACAACAACAAGGAAGAAAGCAGATGACTTACAAATAGGTCAATGGCAGAGGGCTATTCAAAGGGAAAACAAAGGTAGTGGTAAAATTCAGGAAAAAATAGGGAGATGGATAAAACTGAAAATGGAGGGGGGCCCGCGCCGTGGCTCACTTGGTTAATCCTCCACCTGCGGCACCGGAATCCCATATGGGCACTGGGTTCTAGTCCCGGTTGCTCCTCTTCCAGTCCAGCTCTCTGCTGTGGCCTGGGAGGGCAGTGGAGAATGGCACAAATGCTTGGGCCCCTGCACCTGCATGGGAGACCGGGAAGAGGCACCTGGCTCCTGGCTTCGGATCAGCGCAGCGCCGGCTGTAGCAGGCATTTGGGGAGTGAACCAACAGAAGGAAGACCTTTCTCTCTGTCTCTATCTCTCACTATGACTCTACCTGTCAAATAAAAAAAAAAATGTAGGGGTTGGCATAACAGGTTAAGCCACTGTCTGTAGCATTGGCATCCCATATGGGTGCCAGTTCAAGTTGTGGCTACCCTACTTCCAATCCAGCTCCCTGCTAATGCACCTGAAAAAGGCAGCAGAAGATGGTCCAAGTGCTTAGACCCCTGAACCCATGTGGGAGACCCAGATGATGCTTCTGCCTCCTGGCTTTGCCCTGGCCCAGACCTTGCCATTATGGCCATTCGGGGAGTGAACCAGTGGATGGAAGATCTCTCTGTCTCTGTCTCTCCCTCTCTCTAATTCTGACTTTCAAATAAATAAATCATATCAAGTTTTTTTCTTTTTTTTTGACATGCGACAGGCAGAGTGGACAGTGAGAGAGAGAGATAGAGAGAAAGGTCTTCCTTTGCCATTGGTTTACCCTCTGCTGCGGCCGGTGCACCGCGCTGATCCGATGGCAGGAGCCAGGTGCTTCTCCTGGTCTCCCATGGGGTGCAGGGCCCAAGCACCTGGGCCATCCTCCACTGTACTCCCTGGCCACAGCAGAGAGCTGGCCTGGAAGAGGGGCAACCAGGACAGAATCCGGCGCCCCGACCGGGACTAGAACCCGGTGTGCCGGCATCGCAAGGTGGAGGATTAGCCTAGTGAGCTGCGATGCCGGCCATAAATAAATCTTAAAAAAAAAAAAGGCACTGAAAATGTAAAAGAAAGAAGCTCATATCCCTGTGGGCCTCTGGCAGCAGGAACAGGAATATCGAGGATCAGAGAGTTCAGTGTAGGATGGCATCCTTCTCTCCACTCCAGATCTGGAGGCATAATGAACATTTTTAGAAATTAGCTATAATAAAAAATGCCAAAGAGGACAAATAATAGAAACGAAGCTGTTACAGTGTCACACGCCTGACCTCACTGAATTAGTGCAGAAAACGGAAAGGAAGACTAAAAAAGGCATGCTCAGCATTTCTGTTATGATAGCAATTCCTGAAATATGATGCCTCAACAGAAGAACAGAGTCTACATGCAAAGGAGAATGGTTAACAGACAACAGATGGCCCCCAGTCGCTGAAGAACAGCTCCTTCCCACATACTCTTTTCCTCCTCATTCCTTTCCAACAGCCCTTCCTAGCTAGATCCAAAAAGAACTGCAAACCTCTGAAAGGAACCTCAGTACCTGTTTGCCGACAAAGGCGGTATGAGGAGCTGCTGCTTTCTCGGGTTACTAGCTTTTGCGCAACAAAAGGAAAGTCAAACCCTAACAACTTAGCTGTCAGACAAAAGCAGCAACCTTATTTAGCCACAGTAGTCGAAAGAAAGGAGGGCACAGGAGATGCCTGACGCTAAGGAGAAAAACAAGGAAAACGTCAGTTCTCTCATTTCGGTCTGCATGTCCCTGGCCCTGGGTGAGCTGAGCTCCCATGTGATCCTGGGTCACTGAGTGACAGCTCATGGCTGGTCTCGACAGCCTAACCTGGCTATAGGGAAGTCAGTCATGCACGTTTTCCACTGTAATTGTGACAGATCAGTAAGAAAGCACTCTGTAAGAATGCAGATCAACGTGATGGTTGCTGGGTTGCGTGATGGTCGCTGGATTGCCAGATGGTCGCTGGGTTGCCAGTGTTGAGGAATTCAGAGGAGTGTAACTTAACACAGAGGAGCCAGCTACTTACCTGCCTCCCATCTTGCCCCACATTTGTCTGACCTCTTACAACAGTTCGAATATTGTCATCCAGTCTCCTAGCAAAAGAGTTGAAGGATACAAATCATTCAAATAATATTTATTCTACAAAGTTAGTAACTTATCCAGTAATCTCTTTAGATTGAATCTACTTCTCCAGAAAACCAAACAAAATGTGAATGACATAAGAATGGGGCCTTAGACCACACGAGGCAGCAACAGTAGTGCCAGGAACCAAGCCCAGAATGAGTTGTCTTTGTTTTAAAAAAGTGCTTAGTAAAAAAAAAGTGTTTAGTTTCACATAATATTCAGCAGTCCAAAAGGAAAACTTTTAGTGCTTTTCATGGAATAAATCAGGAATGACAAAGTTGTGGAAACTTTAGGGGTACAGAACAGAGAATTCAAATTATCCCACACAAAATGCCTTCCTCAGTAACCTCCTCAGTGACCTTAACACAGATGAGGGGCCAGGGTGATGTATGTAGTCAGTGCTTCACCCTCAGGGCCCTGACCATGCACTCTGGGGATGAAACAGATCCATGGCTTCCAGATCCTCTTCTCTAGTGGCTCAATTTACATCAGTAAATCCCACTATTCATTTGATGAATCCACTGAAGATATGAAAGAAAGAGAGTGGATGGGGCCGGCGCAGTGGCGCAGCAGGTTAACGCTCTGGCCTGAGGTGCCGGCATCCCATATGGGCGCCGGTTCTAGTCCCAACTGCTCCTCTTCTGATCCAGCTCTCTGCTGTGGCCTGGGAAAGCAGTGGAAGTTGGCCCAGGTCTTCGGGCCCCTGCACCCACGTGGGAGACCCGAAAGAGGCTCCTGGCTCCTGGCTCCTAGCTTCGGATCAGCACAGCTCTGACCGTTGCAGCCAATTGGGGCGTGAACCATCGGATGGAAGACCCCTCTCTCTCTTCCTCCCATCTCTCTGTGTAACTGACTTTCGAATAAATAAATAAAATATTTATAAAAAAGAGTGGAAAATAATAAGCTCGGAAGTAGTTTTTTGGATAATCAGGGAAGTTCCATTTCTGCCCAAACCCTGAACACGTTAGTGGTCCCTACTGGAATTGTTCCAACTAAGGTCCACTACAACAATAAGGAAGCTTCTTTGTACGCCCTGAGGCACCAATGGAACATTGTGTTCATATAGCAGAGCTATTCACTGAAAGATACAAAGATGTGTGGAAAAAAAATTCAGTTCTTGGATTCAAAATGAATGTTTTTCCTCATCAAAAGTTTTAAAAACAATCAAAAATCCCTCAAAACTGTATTTTAAATAATGACACCAACCTATTTCTATAGTAAGGATATTTTGTACCCAATCATGTGTCAAAACTGGAAATCCGGATATGGACAAACCAGCTATTGGGCAAGAAGGACACCTGATGACCAACCCGGACAATGGCACCCTGCACTAGTCACAGTGTTTAACACTGGGCCACAACCCAAACCAGCGGCAGACCTGATACTCAGCTGCAATGGAAGCAGGCAATACTTGTGTGACTCCATCTCCTCCTAAACCTTGAGAATACCAAAAAAAATAATAATAATAATATTCCTGGGGGAAATAAAAAAATCATTTTTTTAAAGATTTATTTTATTTATTTGAAAGTCAGAGTTACACAGAGAAAGGAGAGGCAGAGAGAGAGAGAAAGAGAGAGAGAGAGAGAGAGAGAGGAGAGAAAGTCTTCCTTCTGTTGGTTCACTCCCCAGATGGCTGCAACGGTCAGAGCTGAGCTGATCCAAAGCCAGGAGCCAGGAGCTTCCTCCAGGTCTCCCATGCAGGTGCAAGGGCCCAAGGACTTGGGCCATCTTCCACTGCTATCCCAGGCCATAGCAGAGAGCTGGATCAGAAGAGGAGCAGCCGGGACTAGAACCAGCACCCATATGGGATGCTGGCACTTCAGGCCAGGGCATTAACCCACTGCGCCACAGCGTCGGCCCCAATCAAAAATCATTTTTAACAAATATATTCCCCAGTTCAATCTGGGCTGCCACAAAGACAGAAAGGGCAGGGATTTTTCTTTCACATCCCAGTACAAACCAAAAGAACAACAGCAAGTTGTTCAAAGTCTATCTATCAGTGGATGCAGAGAAAATAGTTTAAAAATCTTTTGCTCCCTTCTATAACTAGCTATTTTGGATAGACTGTCTGTTACGGTGTCTTTCCCTTTCTACAAATCGCAGATTGATCAAAGAATCAAGTTCCTTACCACAAGGCTCATATGGCAACTCAGATAAAAAAATTATTTCTAAAAAATTACCATTTGCAGCAAACTTGAGATTCCTGCGTTCTCTAAAAAATAAAGTGTGATTTACAATGTGATAAACTAAGTTAACAATACTTTTCATTAATTAAAATTCACATGGTATTACTTACCTGATTTTCAGTCTAATTTTGTTCACGACTTCATCTATGTTTGCCAGAGACTACGATAAAGAAGAAAGTGCCCAGCTGTTACTTCACCTCCTGGAACTCCTCTTTCACAGAGAAATGACAAGCCATACAGGCTATTTACAAAATCTCAAAAAACTGAATTACATGATATGATTTTGACTTTTTTAAAAAGGGGGAAAGCAGTAGTTGGCAACTACTGCCAAATCTGGTCCAGTACTCATTCTTTATAAATAAAGTTTTATTGGAATATAGCCATGCCCACTCACGTGCATACTGTTGATGGTTGCTTTTGAGCTACAATAGCAGAGTTAAGTAGTGTTGATATCATGGTATTGTCCATAAAGCCTAAATTTTTTTATTATCTGAACCTTTAAGTTTGCTGACTCTGAGATATACAGGATTGTGAAAGATGCATACAATACTCACAGTGAATACATAAACAATGATAAGGAGCTGGTACTGTGGCACAGTAGGTTAATCCACTACCTATAACACTGGCATCCCATATAAGCTCCACTTTGAGTCCTGGCTGCTCTACTTTGGAACCAGTTCCCTGCTAATGCACCTGGGAAAGCAGCGAATGACGGCCCAAGATGGGGAGTGAACCAGTGGATATAAGATCTCCTTCTCTATCTCTCCCTCTCTCCAATTCTGCCTTTCAAATAAATGAAAATAAATCTTAAAAAACACTATCACAATGTTGCATGACAAAAAATAGCCACACAAAAGGGTATATCTTATAGGATTTTACTTATGCAGTTCAAAAACCAGGTGAACTATTCTCTTGTTAAAGGCCTGGGTAGTGGTTCTCTTTGTGAGAGAGGCAAGAAAGACCTTTTGAAGATGTCTTACTAATGTTTTATTTCTTGATCTGGTGGTGTTATTTATTTTGTGAAAATTCATAGTTTTACACTAATGATTGTGCACTCTTCTGTATTGTTATACTTTGATCAATAAATATACTTATTCATTTATTTCAAAATATTTATTTATTTAAGAGGTAGAGACAGAGAGAGCAGAGGGAAGGAGACTGTGAATCTATATGGTGGCTGGCTTCCAGTATGCCCAGAGGCACCAGGGTCTGAGGGAAGGTACCTGATGGCAGGGACCAGGAACCCACATGGTGGCAGGAAGCTATTTGAGACATCACCTGTTACCTCCCAGGGTCTGCTGTAGCAGCAAGTTAGAATCAGGAACTGAACCCTGGTACTCTGATGTGGGATACAAGAGTCCTAATCAGTGTCTTAACTGCTGGGCCAAATGCCCATTCCAATAAATTTATTTTTTTTTCCAGGATATAAATCCACGAGAAAAAAAAGTCTGGATGGATACACAAGCATACAAGGGTAATTCAAAAAGTTAGTGAAAAATACCTATTAAAAAACCATGGCCGGCGCCGCGGCTCACTAGGCTAATCTTCCGCTTAGCGGCGCCAGCACACTGGGTTCTAGTCCCGGTCGGGGCGCCGGATTCTGTCCCGGTTGCCCCTCTTCCAGACCAGCTCTCTGCTGTGGCCAAGGAGTGCAGTGGAGGACGGCCCAGGTGCTTGGGCCCTGCACCCCATGGGAGACCAGGAGAAGCACCTGGCTCCTGCCTTCGGATCAGCGCGGTGCGCCGGCTGCAGCGCACTGGCCGCGGCGGCCATTGGAGGGTGAACCAACGGCAAAAGGAAGACCTTTCTCTCTGTCTCTCTCTCTCACTGTCCACTCTGCCTGTCCAAAAAAAAAAAAAATTTTTTTTGTGGTTGGGCCCGGCGCAATGGCTCACTTGGTTAATCCTCCGCCTGTGGCGCTGGCATCCCATATGGGCACTGGGTTCTAGTCCCGGTTGCTCTTCTTCCAGTCCAGCTCTCTGCTGTGGCCCGGGAGGGCAGTGGAGGATGGCCCAAGTGCTTGGGCCCCTATACCTGCATGGGAGACCAGGAAAAAGCACCTGGCTCCTGACTTCGGATCGGCGCAGCGCAGGCCATAGCGGCCATCTGGGGAGTGAACCAACGGAAGGAAGACCTTTCTATCTGTCTCTCTCTGTCAAATAAATAAATTTTTAAAAAAATTTTGTGGCAAAATCATATCTTTTCTATTTGAAAGGCAAAGAGAAATAAAGATAGAGAATGCCAATCTGCTGGTTTACTTCCAAAATGCCCACAGTGGACCCTAGCTGAGGCCAAAGCAGAGGAACCAATAATTCAATTCAAGTCTCCCAAGGTGGTAGCAAGGATCCAATCACTTGAGCCATCACCACTGCCTCCCAGGGTTTGCATTAACAAGAAGCTGAAGTCAGGAGTGGAGCCAGGTATCAAATCTAAGCATTTGGATATGGGTCAAAGTATTTTAACCAACCACAAGGTGAAACATCCATGCTAAAATAAACTTATCTATTAATTTCATTTCTCCATGAATTTTTATTTCATTTTTAAAAATGATTTTATTATTTGTTTATTTAAAAGGTAGAGTTATAGACATCCACTGGTACTCCCCAAATGGCCACAATGCCCAGAGCTGGGCCGATCCAAAGTCAGAAGCCAGGAGCTTCTTCCTGGTCTTCCACATGGGTGCAGGGGCCCAAGGACTTGGGACATCTTCTACTGCTTTCCCAAGCTACAAGCAGTGAGCTGGAGCAGAAGAGCAGCCAGGACACGAATCGGCACCCATACAATATGTCAGCACTGCAGGCGGAGGTTTAGCCTACTATGCCACAACACTGGGCCCTCTCCATGAACTTCTGAAGTATTCTCATAGTAGCTGTAATCTATGAAATCTGTATTACTAGTTTTACTCCATGAAAAGGAGGAATTTCAAACTTTTCTTCTTCTTTGCCTATCAGTATTTTCTAATTATTCCACATAGACTATGCACTGTTATTGTAATTAAAAAAATTTTTAAAGATAACAACAAAGCCATTAAAAGACCATTTCGGGCCTACGTCCTAAGAAAATGTGAGGAAATGCTGCCCCTTAGTGGAGGAGAGGAGGTACAATTTTACAGCATCATTTTAACTCAAGTTTTCAAAACAGAATCTTATAAAAACCTCTTTCTCTCTCTCCCAACAGCTATTTTATCTCAGAAAGAATTGGGGATGGTATTAGAAGTGTGCTTATAAACTCATTCTGGCTACAGAGGGGCCAGACGCCCTCAAGAAGGTTTGGTAAGAGAAACAGGTCACGAGTGTACGAGAAGTCAGTCTTGGCCGTTCAGTCTCCCCTCCACTCTGACCAAGCCAATGGTTATCCAGAATTTTCAGAAATCCAAGAATAGCCTGAAGTAACAATGATTTTCCAAAAGAGAAGTTACTTTAATCTAATTCTGTCGAGTCTGTCACTTCAAAACTGCACTGAGTGTAACAAAAGTCACTGCCATGTTAACAACAGTGCAGGTGTCACAGGACCGGGGCTTTGGCCTAACTCCGATGCGGCTGACTTGCTGGAGGCAAGCTGTTGAACCTGAGTTTGTTTCCTCATATGAAAAATGTGCATCACAACTTCTAACTCTACTGGAACTCATTCTTTTAAAAAAAAAAAATTAGCTATTTTAAAAACATCTATTTTAAAGATGTTAAAATGTTAGGATGGAAGGGAGGGCATCTAGCCCAAAAGTTAGGTTGCCAGCTGGGATGCCTACATTCCATACTGGCGTGATACCCAACTCTAGCTCCTGCCTCCAGCTTCCTGCCAACAGAGACAGCAGGTAGGGCTCAAGTAACTGGGTTCCTGCCACCCAAGAGGGAGACTTGGATTAAGTTTCCAACTTGGCTTTGACCTCCCAGCCCTGGACTGGGTCATTTCAGTGTCTGGGGAGTGAATCAGTGGATGAGAGCACATGTGCTCTCTCCCCTCACATGTCTCTCAGATAGATTTTTCTTTAAACATTAACACTTGGAAAATCATGGGTGAACATTAATCATGAGTTCCCTGTATTGTTCTAAAAACTTACCTGAAAATGGGGAATTCTATAAAAATTATACAATTTATACTTTTAAAGATTTTTTATTTATTTATTTGACAGGTAGAGTTACAGACAATGAGAGGGAGAGCCAGAGAGAAAGGTCTTCCTTCCGTTGGTTCACCCCCCAAATGGCTGCTACGGCCGGAGCTACGCCGATCCGAAGCCTGGAGCCAGGTGCTTCCTCCTGGTCTCCCATGTGGGTGCAGGGCCCAAACACTTGGGCCATCCTCCACTACCTTCCCAGGCCACAGCAGAGAGCTGGACTGGAAGAGGAGCAACGGAGGCTAGTACCCGGGGCCCATATGGGATTCCGGCGCTGCAGGTGGAGGATTAGCCAAGTGAGCCATGGCACTGGCCCCAAAATTTGTAACCTCTATAAAATTGGTAAAACTGTATATGACCAAAAACCTCAGAGAGTGAACAGAGTATGGAGGGAAAAGCAAGGCTTCCACTCATCTGTCCTGCCCGTGCCCTCGGGTCCTCTCCCTGAGGCAATGGCTCTGTGCCAGCTGCTTCCCACCTTCTGGGAGATAGACTATGCGCTAAAAGCACATCCAGGGGGCTGGCACTGTGGCGTAGTAGGTAAGGCCACTGCCTGCGGTGCCAGCATCCCATATGCACACCAGTTCGAGTCCCGGCTGTTCAAATTCTGATCCTGCTCTCTGCTATGGCCTTTGAAGGCAGTGGAGGATGGCCCAAGTGTTGGGGCCCCTGCACCCATGTTGGAGACCCGGAGGAGGCAGCTGGCTCCTGGCTTCGGATTGGTGCAGCTCCGGCCGTCACGGCCATCAGGGGATTGAACCAGTGGATAAAGACACCTCTCTCTCTCTGCCTCTGCCTCTCTGTAACTCTGCTGTTCAAATAAATAAATAAATCTTAAAAAAAAAGAAAAAGAAAAAGAAAAGAGCATCCAGGAGTGGTCTGCACTGTGCTTTTTTCACTTGACAATATAATCTGGACGTCATTCCACAGAAACCATTTCTTAAATTTAGTAATCCTTAGATATTCAAGTCTTGCTTAAGTTTTGACCATTTTTCTAAGAAGAGTAATGCAAAATATGCATGTAATCAGATGCTTAACTGTACTTTAAA